GGAATTTTTTTTTCAGAAACAAATTTATTCTGAAAACACTTTTTTCGTCTTAATTTGTTTATAACAAAAAAAATATAAACAATATTAATAAAATCAACGAACATTTATCATAATTAAGTATTCAAATAGTAAATAAGCAAAAAAGAATCATTAAAATTGATGAATTCTATGAAATATATTCGAAAAATGAAGAAAATATAAGCGGGACATCTCGCTTGCGTCCCGTTGTGACGCAAATGGTTAAGTAGATACCAGTGAGCGGACAGTTGAAATAAATTAAATAATATAAGTATAGATGTTATCTCTAAATGAATTTATTAACGATTGACCATTATTTTGCCAAACCATAGGTGCACACTTGTTTAATTAATTTTTATCTTAATCCAAATGCATCGAAATTGGGTATATTCTTTCCCAACTTATCGTCAAACATTGGAGTTTCTTTTACGATAATTATTACTTTCATTCATTGTCGTTAAAATAAATAGTAAATATTTGTTTTCAAAGTGGTCGGATACTACGTAGTACGTATCCGGCCATTCGGACGTTTACCTCGCACGCTCCGTTTCCGCCTTCTTCCCGCTTCCTGGGCCCCGCGCGTGTACATTCACGTATATCATGCGCGAGTCTTCCCTTGGCACAACCCCGCGGGATACCGCGAAGAACGAACGCAGTCGCGAGCGGCGCTTTAGAGGGTCCTTGGCTCCTCGACAAGAGGCGTAAGCTCGTACTTTAGGAGAGCAGCGTGCGTGTGTGCACTCCGGACGTGAGTGCGATCCTAAGGCTGAAGGAGCGCGCGGACACTCTCCAGCGGGCTTCTGCGGATGCATCTGGATCGCAGCGGCATGGCGCGCTGCGATTGTAAATATTAGGTATCCAGAAAAGTTTGCCGTTGCTTACCATTTTTCATGTGGAGAATTAAAGGACTAACAGCAAATGTAATTTTGCTGACATTAAATGCAGTAGCGAGTTTTCCAAAAGACCTCGAGCATCCTATATATTGTGCTATTACTTGCTTGCTTTATTTAAACTCAAAAATATATTGTTACAATAGCGCCCTGACTTTTGTTAACTTGCTGACTTTTGGAAATTTCAAAATCATCAAATTAACAAAAACCAGGGAACTACTGTAACAATATGTTGTCTTGAGATCAAATAGAATAAAAAGGTCTAGTACTATTTTTTTCTTCTGACTGAAATAGCGAGATATCGTAAGTTAAATATTGAAAAAGTTATCAAGTTTCCCTCAAATATCTCAAAAAATATTAGGCGAATAAAAAAATGTTTTAGACAAAAGTTGTTCAAATTAATTGGTAGAAAGAAATATTGTAATAAAAAGTAGGGGTTCCCATTTTAAAAATGCAAGTTGACCTTCAAACGACCTTTAAGGTCGAGGTCGAGATCAAATTTGAGGTCACAAGAAAACAGAACTTTATGAACCCTAAAACTTTTGTTCGGGTCATTTTTATAATGTATAGATTCCTATAATGTATAGATTCTGAGATAGGAGGGGGGAGGGGTCCGTTACTTTTGGCAAACTTGATATATGACTTGCATCTCCAGCGATAAATTGTTAAAATTACAAATAACGAAAAGTGATGTTGCTGCAACTATTTGATTTATTCCCCGTACAATTATCAAACAGTAAATGTTCGTTTGTTGTGACAACAGAAGTCTTTTCCTAACGCGCACACAGGGATGCTCCGTTTGTCCGAAGGACGAAACTTGTATCCTTGACAACATTAATATTCGTTTCCGGTGACCGAATATATTTCTGAGACGACAGAGACCTTCCAACGGAATTTCTCTTGCATTCGCAATTGAATCGATCGGTTGATTGCCGAAGAACGAAAAGTTTCAGTTGTCGTAACTAAAATTCAATTGTACCAACCGAATAGTTATCCGCGCGCAAATGAAAAGTTGGATTGTAAGACACACACACACACACACACACACACATAGAGGAGTATAATTCTCTCCGCGCCCGGAGAGAGAATCAGTCTCTCCCGCGATCTCCCGCGATCTGCGATTAAAGGGCGAGTAACAAACGACCCCGCGATTTTCTACGAGCGCAGAGGAGTACAATCGTCAATCCTCGCTGGTATCCGCGAGTGATATCTCCTGCTGACGGCGCTGTCACATCTCACATTTCTCAGCGCAATTCGCGCGAGGCGCGACGCTGGCCCGACGAAACGCATCGTGGGAACGGCGCACGGGAGGAGACGCGTTCCGGTGGCGATCAAATTTATGAAACGCGCCTAAAACCTCGAAAGATGTTTATCAAAACCTGCCGCTTCCCTCCCCGCGAGGAGACGAGGACAGGGAGCGTGTAAGTTCTCGACAGCCGTATGTATCTTGAGAGTACTCGACTCGGCGCAACTAAGCCGGTGAACGTCACGGACGAGATTTAGAGGCCGCGACGGCGGACAATGCACGACACCTGCGCGGCACCTCGGGGAGGACGAAGGGAGGACGAAAGGGAATAGAAGGCGGGGGGCGAAGGAGGACATGCGGACGGTTGAGCGAAATAAGGAGAAAAGGAGGCGGAGAGGTGGATTCATCTCGCCGTATATGCCGGCGGAGGAATAGCGTCGCCGTGGCTCGCCTATGTACGTTACACCGCGAAGAGCGGAAAGTGGTACCGGCGCGGCGCGCAGCGGGATCGGCTCTCAAAAGACATCTTAAAAGGTTCTTAATATCAATGGCGTAGCCACCGTGGCGGGGAACGCCACGGCGAGGCCTCTCGCCGCAGCTGTGATTTACGGATTATGTACTGCACGTTCCGCGTGTTTGTTGTTCGAGACGGCAACCTCGAAACAGCCGGCAAAACCTCTGAACCCTCGATGTGCCGTTGCATGAATTGTACAAATTGCCGGGCGCCTGCCACGCGCGTGAAATCGGAATTTTATCTCGCCCAGGAGATGCCCGAGACGAGACGAGACGGAGGAGGGCAGAGATTCCCTCGACGGCTCCGAAATGGCGCCAACGAGCGCGTCCAATGCCAACGAGTGCTAATTTCACCCCCGTTCGCGTCGCGGATTGCGAATTACTCGGGCATCTCGACGTGGACCGTCGCTATGGGGATCGCTCGGTTTATCCCCGGGGGGGTGGGCGATCCTTTTGCGCTCGCAAGGACGCCGCGCAAGGAGGCTTTTCGGTAGTTCGGGACCCCCGCTGGCGGCGCACGCGGCGAAGCGAGCGCTGGAAGGAGGGAGGAGGCGAGGGGGCCGCGTCGTGCGCGCAGCCGAGGCTTTTTTATCGGGATATTAATTGGACAACCAATTATATCTTACGCGGCGAGGCATAAATTCATAACCCTTAAGCTCGCAGTTAAAACGAACCAATTACCGGAGCGGGGGCCGCGGCCGAAAAGCCATTCGGCCCGATCCTCTCTCTCTCTCTCTCTCTCTCTCTCGGAGGATCCTTCGCGAGTACCCTCTCGCGAGTATCCTTTCGAGGAAGGAAACCGCCCGCAAGAACCCACGAGCGACTCCACCAGCGTCGTTAACCATCGCCGTCGCCCACTCGCCGTCGCCGCCGCGGCCGCGAGAAAACCTGCCCCTTAGCCGGCAAATTCACTTCGTTTCTTCGACGCGGACGAGGCACTCGCGCGCTCTCGGCCACTCACTATCGCGGCTTAACAAGCGCGATCGGCGAAACAGATCGGCGGGGATATCGTTTCTTCCGACGGAAAGCGATACGCTCACACGGCCGGACGGCGCGACGTCGCTGCCGATTGGAGTCGACAGGAAGGCGCGCGGCGGGTGTGGCGCCGTTTCCGCATGCTAAACGCGCCGTAAATCTCGGCAATATCTTCCGCACGCGTCGCTCGCGACGGACGCGTGTATATTTGTCGAGCGCCTGCTCGCTCAGAGCAGACGCTAAGTCGCGAGTATAGATCATCAGAATGAAAGGACGAGCTTGCCCGCCTCGGACAGCGGACATTTTCCACATAGGGTGTCTTAAAAATACGCGAACCCCCGGATAACCTCGCAGGATCAAGTTTTCATGAAACACTTTAAATACAAAAGTTGTAGGAAATCGAGTAACAGACTTGATGGTGACCTTGAATTTGACTTTGGCCATGACCTTCAAGGTCATTTGAAAGTCAACTTGCGTTTTTTAGATAGGAACTCCTATTTTTTGTTGCACCGTTCTTTTCTACCAATTAATTTGAACGACTTTTGTCTGAAACGTTTTTTTATTTGCCTAATATTCCTCGAGATATTTGAGGGAAACTTGATAACTTTTTCAATATTTACTTACTTTATTCAACTTACGTTATCTCGCTAACTATGTGTCGGAAGAAAAAAGTGGTACTAGACTTCCTTGTCTTCATTTAGTCTCAAGAATGTATTGTTACAATAGTGCCGCGATTTTTGTTAATTTGACTTTGAAATTGCCAAAAGTCAGTAAGTTAACAAAAGTCAGGCCGCTATTGTAACAATATATTCTTGAGATTAAATAAAGCAAGAAAATCTAGCACCACTTTTTTCTCCCGACACATAGTTAGCGAGATATCGTAAGTTAAATATTGAAAAAGTTATCAAGTTTCCCTCAAATATCTCAAAGAATATTAGGCAAATAAAAAAATGTTTTAGACAAAAGTTGTTCGAATTAATCGGTAGTAAGAAACATTGTAATAAAAAGTAGGGGTTCCCATTTAAAAAATGCAAGTTGACCTCCAAATGACCTTGAAGGTCATGGCCAAGGTCAAGTTCAAGGTCACCATCGGGTCCGTCACTCGATTTCCTACAACCTTTTTATTCAAAGTTTTTCACGAAAACTTGATCCCGCAAAGTTATCCGAGAGTTCCGATATTTTTAAGACACTCTGTATATTTCTTCGCTCCTCCCCCCCTTCGTCTCGTCGTCGCGCGTTCTCGAGATTTTAGCGCGCGCGCGCGCAAGCCGAGCTCGGCCCGTGGCGAAACTCGCGACCGTTGTCGCGTCGTTGAATCAGCGGCGCCATACGAACGTGAATTAAAGCGTCATCGACGCTCACTCCGACGAGAACGAGCCGCTGGAGCCGCTGCTGCTGCCGTCGCGGAACTTCGGCTCCGTGATTTTGTAGTCGGACTTGAAGGACGTGAGTACATAAGTGGAGTGCGGAGTCCTTTTGATTCTACCTAGAGCAATCCCGGCCTTAAGAATCTCGACGACTAGGTACCGCGCGCGCGCGTCCGTGAGTCTTGTACGGTCGAGCACGTATCTCACGATGTCCTCCAGACTGGCACCCTCCACCAGACGATCCATTCGTCTTCGCGACGACATCGCGACTGGGACCTACGTGGACACGATCGTTCCCATTTTCACATAACGACCAGACACACGAGCGCGAGCTCGCTTTTATAAGTAAAACTTATTTACTACGTCCCCCTCCCGCGCGCGTCGACTCGACTCGGCGTATTCGCCATACAGCTCTTCGCCGTAAATTGGGCCGTAAACGTGGGCCAGAAAAATGCATATTCCTCGATTACGCGGGAAAACGTCGTTACTGCGAATTACGTGTCGGCCGAGAAGCGGCCTGACGCGGTCGTTCCGACTCGCACGGACGATCTATCGGCGGAGACGAATCGCCGCGTATCGAGCGGATACGCCTAATTGGATTATACTCCCGTCGACGGAATGCGTGCGACGGAGAGAGAGGTCCGGGGGAGGCCGAGAAAAGAGACTGCGTCGCTCTTTTTATGGGCCATATATAAATCCCGTAATTGAGATATGCTTCCCGTCGCGCAGTCGCACACGCAACGCTGCCTCGCAAGAAATCGAATTGGTTAGGCGTCGGACGAGAAGACGCTGTGGAAGACAACTTTGGGGAGGGAAATGGAAAATTAGGAGGGTCGGCATCCGCGAGAGTGAGCCTGCCCGGAAGGGACGACGGCTTGATTGCAGGGCAGATGGTAATCGACAATGTTCGACGTTGTCGTCGTTGTCGCATAACTCACCGACATATTTATTCGATACTTCGAGAAGGATTTAATAGTTAAAAGGGAGAGAGGGGAAAAATAGATGATTATATTAGGAGTGTGATTTAGTTTTGAAGGCTTTGAGGATTTTGAGGGTTTTGAAGGTGCTGAGAGTTTTGAGAGTTCTGCAGGAGACAGCACTGATGTCAGTTTCATTGAAGACAAAACCAATCACAGCTATTGTTTCTTAATATTTTAATATTAATCCATGATATTTAGTCATTTACTAACAATGGACGCGATAGAAATCATGTTGATACTATCTTAAAAATGAAGCCCCCAGAATCTCAAAAATACAGATTTGCAAGTATGATTGGACGAAAATCCAACATAACTCACTCCAGATCCTCCCAGAGCATTAAATGTAGGTCGTACAATAGTTATTAAACGTTTACATGATATAGGAAAGATTCACAAAGAAGGAAAGTGAGCTCCACATCGATTATCGGAAAATGCCATTGCGAACCTAACCAGTATTTACATTTCGTTAATCGCCAGATAAAAAATAAAGAGTTTTTCGTACTGAATTGTTACTGGGGATAAAAAATGAATCTATTTCGATAATCCCAAACGAAAAGAATCATGGGTTGATCCAGGCCAACCAGCAACATCCATTTCAAGGAATGAAATATTTACGGTTCAAAGATATTGCTGTTCAAAGGTATTTGGTGAGATCAAGAAGGTACATTATGAACCGTTAAATCCGAATGAAACCATCACCGCTGCTCCTTGTCGACAACAATTATTCAAATTAAAGCGAGCATTGAACTAAAAACGATCACCAATTGCAGATAAACGGCGCAAAGTGTTTCTTCTTCACGACAATGCTCGACCTTGTGTTGCATTATCAAAGAAGCAAACGCTGTTAAAGCTGGAACGGTAAGTTTTACTTGTACCGTAACTTGGAACAAGTATGAAAATTGGATCAACGCCAAAGAAGAATCTTTTTATCGTCATGGGATCCATTTCTTGCCAAAAAGATGGGAAAAAATTGTAGAAAACGAAGAAAAATATTTTGATCAAAATACTCGTTCATTATCTTGTTTAACTAAGTCAGTTTTTGAGAATAAAAAATTCTCAAAACACTAAATCATACTCCTAATAGAAAAATATAATCCAAACTTTCGTACGCGTTAAACGTATGTCATACTTAACCCTTCCACCGCCTCTCAAACGTCAAACTGACAAGCTGGAGCTTTAATAAAGAACCTCCGCAAAGAGGGTCGATTTTTTGCCCGTTTTTCGGCCCTCGATTTTGGAATCGAATTTTATGTCGAAAGATAGTTCATGATGAAACATTAATTACAGAAAAGTTTTACGATTGGTTTAAAAAATGTACAGGTCAAAGTGGTCACTACTTACTAAGAAAGTATGACACTAATAACGCTTTATCGTACGAATTTTTGCAAAATTCGGTGTCTATTCGGTTCTTTGAGTTGCTGATTATGAATCTAATGTCAGATTTTAAAAATTCAAGGTGGCAGGTGCAACATGGCGGACACACATAGTGAAACAATCATTTATTTTTGTTGGAACTGTTACGTTGTGGTTTTTTTTTGGTTAGCTGATTACGAATTTTCTATTAGGTTTTCGAAAGTAATTTTTTCAACGACGATTTTTGAGTGGAAAAAGCATTTTTTTATTGTTTTTCATAAAAAAAGTATCAAATTCAAATTGATACGTTACATGACGCATAAAGGATAACGTGATTGTTTTATTTGTTATATTTAGAAGCTTATCTTGCCTTCATTGGCTGAATAACTTTTTCATCTTGCCTTTACTGGCTGGATAACATTTTTATCTTGCCTTCATTGGCTGGATAACTTTTTCATTTTGCCTTCACTGGCTGGATAACATTTTTATCTTGTCTTCATTGGCTGGATAACTTTTTCATTTTGCCTTCACTGGCTGGATAACATTTTTATCTTGTCTTCATTGGTTGGATAACTTTTTCATCTTGCCTTCAGTGGCTGGATAACATTTTTATCTTGCCTTCGTTGGCTGGATAACTTTTTCATCTTGCCTACACTCAAGGTAAATGTAAATCTGATAGAAAATTCGCAATCAGCTAGCCGGAAAAACTACAACATAACAGTTCTAACAAAAGTAGATAATTGTTCACTATTTGTGTCCGCTACATTATATCCGCTATCTTGAATTTTTTAAATCTGATATCGAATTCGTAATAAGCAACTCAAAGAACCCATAGATACTGAATTTCGCAAAAATTCGTGCGATAAAACGTTATTAGTGTCAAACTTCCTTAATACTAGGTAGTGACCACTTTGACCCTCTATATCCCTGAAACCAATCGTATGCTCAATGTAAAACGTTTTTTTTTTGTAATTAATGTCTTATCATGAGCTATCATTCCGCATAAAATTTAATTTAAAAATCTGCGACTGAAAAGCGGGCGTTTTCTCGGGCGGAGGTTCTTTGTCAATTTCAGCAGCAGAGCGCGCATAATTGGTGCTTCATCTTCTAAGATAATTTCTAAGACACTTACGAAAAGTAGAGTCGATCGCAGCGAACGATCGGCGGGTACAATCGCATGGAAAATCGCGTAATCTCGCGCGAAGGGAATCAATCGCTAATACGCGGTTACGGGACGCGTCTCCGGATACGTGGCGGCCGCTGCAGCGCCGATCGACGTCCAAGAGTTTTTCATTGGTCGACGTAGAAGCAGATGATTCCGCGCGGCTTAATGGAAGGGCTCACTACTGTGCTCTTCGGTAACGTGTAATTATCGGGTAGAACGAGCTCGGGAATGTGGCGCGCGGGCTCAGCCAGAATAGAGACATTATTCCACCGGGTGTACCTGGACTTTTCTCTTCCCCCCTTGGCTCCCCCGAGGCGCTCGCAAGGTGGAGACACGAAGGGCTTCGCCCCACCTCGGCTCCGCGCCACTTTCCCGGCCTCTTCATCAGACGTCGTGGCCGCGTCCTCCCGAAGACGAGCTGTCACGTATCGTGATGAGCGCGCGCACGCCTCGCAGCTCGTCAGAGTGAGCCGATGTCTACCCAGAAACCGGTAGCGATGCCCTTGACGTGATCGAGGAGCGATCCGTAGATGGCGGCGGATCGTGCAACTCGAGAGGAAGGAACTCGCAGGAAGGAACGACGCGATTAATCGCCGGTCTCGGTGGAATCATTATTAATTAGCGTATGCGCCTATCGAGTCTTCATCGTGCCGATTAAACAAAGTAATACCTCGACGTGCTAATTAATCGTGGAATTTGGAATGGATTAATGGTCGCTCTCGGCCGCGCAATTGGGCCTCGGTTGTAATTGGGCCTGGTGGACTTTGAATTTGTCTGTAATTGTCGCGCCTTGTCGCAATCACGTCGCCATTCACGCCAGTCGGGCCCGTCGGAAGAGGGACTCTTTGCAGAGCGACTCTTATCCTCGGCGAGTTTCGCGTCCGCTATCATCTTCGAGTTTCTCTCTCAAGGACGTCCTTCGCGAAAGCGCGACGATTGCTACAGTTAGTTGGCCGGTGTGCGTTTACGCGCTCGTTTTTCCTCGCGTGCGTCTCGTTAATAACGATCAGCCTGGCGTCCGACGCCCCGGTGGTTGTCGCGGCAAGAAGAAGCTTTTTTTCACGGAAGTCGAGACGGTCTTCCGAGAAGAAGGACTTTCCACCGAAAGCCCCGCTCTTCCTTTTTCCACACCGCGCTTAAGTCCCTTGCATAATCATCGCATGAATAATCGATCGTCACGGCTCGTTATCGGTGTTCTTCTCGGCAATCGATGAAAATGGAAAAGAAATACAGAGGAATCCCAGACACAGTTATTGCCTCAGGCGCATGGCGGCCGTAATTAGGAAAACTCCGCAACGTCTTTCTCGGACAGTTGCAATTTTAGCGCAATCATCCAATCGTCGGCATCCCGGGACAACCGAGGTGCGCAGAAAAATATTTTGTAGTAACAATTATTAGGTGTATGCAAATATTTCTTTTAAAGCCCTCTAATGTAATTATTTTAAATTAATATATTTTTCCGCCGTTTTGTGTTCTTATAAGATTGGTATTGAACTTCCTAAAACGCCATTATATATTTTATAATTATACATTTAATAATTATTTAATATAAATTTTAATATTAAAAAATTTTAATGATAATATTATTAAAATTAAAAGTTAATATTTTATAATTATTTAAGAATTATTTGATATAAAAATATAAAAATATTTTTTTATTATAAACTTGACGATATTCATAATTGCATAACACGCATATTCCGAAGACGTTTCTACTTCTTATACGTATATTACACTTTTGAGCATTTAATTATATCGCCAAATGT